ATTCTTTATCAAATGTGTGGAGACTGGAGAGAGTAAGCTCATTTGATAATATTTACTGTGCACCCAACTGTAGGCTATAAAATATCCCCCTTCATTTTCATTTCTTTTTAATCCAATCCCCCCTTGCCTTTCTTTTTCTAAATTGCGGCGCTGCTACGACTCCTCTTATATGGTTTATTAAATATTAAATAAAATCATTATGTATTTAAATTATGATTACAATATTAATATAAAACGGGATATAAATATAAAAATATGCATATTGTAAAATTCTTTTCTTCTACAAAATTCACAAATAAAAATTCCACATTATTATACAATAAAAACCATTTTCCTCGGGGATTATTTTAGATAATGTAAACAATATCTGTTAAAATGAAAATTTGCATTTCTTTGTGTATAAAAAATTGAGCTTTGAATCTTAGTTTATTTATTTATTTCTAAAAGACCTCAATTATTAATTGAGTTCAAGCAATAGATGTATAGGTTTATTAATTGAGTTCAAACTATACTTATTTTTAATTTAATATAAAGATATTAATGTCTAATTTAAATTAGACTAAATTTATTATTTTCATTCATATCGTATTTTCGCATCAATTTAATCATTAAAATTGTATCATTCTATGCATTTCTCCTAAAAAAAACTCTAAATTATAAACCCTAAATTAATGTTTAGAAGTAATAAAGTTATGGTTTAGGATTTAAGGATTATAATTTAAAATTTTTAAGTTAGGGGTAAGATTATAAAATAATATAATTGAGTAACTTTAAATGTTAAATTAATATAAAAAAAATGATAGAGAATAAATTAATAAATTAAATATATTACATTGCAAAAGTTACCTTTTTTTTTTGCCTTAAACTTATTATTATTATGGCCTCCGTTGTTCCTTATCTCTTCTTCCTATTTCCTCCATCCGGCCTCTCATTGCACCCATTTGTATTCATTTTCTCTCAGTTTTCTATCCTTAATTTTCTTTCTTTAAATCCAGAAAAAGCTAAAATCCAATAAAAATCGAAATTCATTTCCTTACCATTATCAGATTATAGCCTTGGATTTTCGTTCTGTACTCTCCAAAAACCAAAAAATGAAGAGAGAACATCAGCAAATCTGTGGAGCCGCTGCCGCCGGCGGTTATGGCAGTAGCAGTGGCTCAAAGGGTGAGAGCTCAAGCACTAACAAAGGGAAATTATGGGGAGAAGATCGAGATTCCGGCGACATGGACGAGCTGTTGGGCGTTCTGGGTTACAAAGTGCGGTCTTCAGACATGGCGGACGTGGCTAAAAAATTGGAACAATTGGAGATGGTTATGGGAACTGCTCAAGAAGGTGGGATTTCACATCTTGCTTCCGATACCGTTCATTACAATCCGTCCGATCTTTCGAGCTGGGTTCAAAGCATGTTGACCGAGTTTAACAGTCCTGCAACATCAAATCTTGATCCTGTTTTCCCCAATTCGGATTCCAATTCTGCAAAGCCACGGCAACAACAAATTGTCGGCAGCAATCAATCCCAGGTTTATAACGATGATTCCGAGTACGATCTGAGGGCAATTCCCGGAGTTGCTGCTTACCCACAACCAAAACGAATCAAAACTTCGGGAAATGACTCATCTTCTTCACCAACTGAGTCATCGGCTCGGCCTGTCGTCTTGGTTGACTTACAGGAAGCTGGGGTTCAACTGGTTCACACTTTGATGGCTTGTGCCGAAGCTGTCCAACAAGAGAATCTCAAGCTGGCTGATGCTTTAGTCAAACATATAGGCTTACTTGCCGCGTCTCAAGCTGGTGCCATGAGGAAAGTGGCTACCTGTTTTGCCGAAGCTTTAGCTCGCCGGATCTACGGCGTTTATCCACAAGACTCGCTTCACCCTTCCTACACGGATGTGCTGCAGATGCACTTTTACGAAACTTGCCCTTACTTGAAATTCGCTCATTTTACGGCCAATCAAGCTATACTGGAAGCTTTTGCGACGGCCAAGAAAGTTCACGTCATTGATTTCGGGTTAAAACAGGGGATGCAATGGCCGGCTTTAATGCAAGCTCTTGCATTAAGGCCGGATGGTCCGCCGGCTTTCCGATTGACGGGTATTGGCCCGCCTCAGCCGGATAATACCGATGCTTTGCAGCAAGTGGGATGGAAGTTAGCTCAGTTGGCTGAAACTATTGGCGTCGAGTTCGAGTTTAGGGGATTCATTGCCAATAGTTTGGCTGATATCGAGCCCGATATGCTCGGCATCCGTCCTCCTGAGGTTGAGACACTGGCGGTGAATTCGATTTTTGAACTTCACCGCCTGTTTGCTCAACCTGGCGTGATCGAAAAGGTTCTTTGTTCTATCAAAACAATGAAGCCCAAGATACTCACAATTGTAGAAGAAGAAGCGAATCATAACAGTCCTGTTTTTGTAGACCGTTTTAATGAAGCTCTGCATTATTATTCCAGCTTTTTTGACTCTTTAGAAGGCTCGGGGGTGGCAACACCGAGTCAGGACCTGGTTATGTCCGAATTGTATCTGGGAAGACAGATTTGTAACGTGGTTGCTTGTGAAGGGGTAGAACGAGTTGAACGACACGAGACGCTGGCTCAGTGGAGGACTCGGATGGAAACATCTGGGTTTAGCCCAGTTCACTTGGGTTCAAATGCTTACAAGCAAGCTAGCATGTTGTTGGCTCTGTTTGCCGGTGTTGATGGGTACAGAGTGGAGGAGAATGATGGGTGTTTAATGCTTGGGTGGCATACAAGGCCGCTTATTGCCACCTCGGCTTGGCAACTCGCCACCGCCGAGTGAAGATCGTGAGTTAACAAGTTGAAGAGAATTGAAAAGGATAATTCCAAGTGTGTAACTGTAATTGTATCTCTCTGCTTCTCTACTAGTTCTTGTAGGGTAGTTTTTTTAATGGGAGCCTTTGTAATTTTCAAGGTTGGATCACATGGAAAGGCATATATTGTTTTTCATTTCTTTAAAACATGGAAAAACAGCACAAATACCATATAATATGCGTCAAATTTTACATAACACAATTTAAATTAGTAAAAGTACATAAATGTACATGAATTGTTGTGACATGGCTAATAAACTTAATTTTTTATAATTGGTTTAAATTAAATTAAAAATATACTTATTTGGCCTGAACAAGCGACTTCAATAATAAAAAGACTATTGTTATTTTTTAGGATTCCGGGTTCAAATACAAAAAATGTCAAATAATATGAACTTCAATGTTAAATAGTTAAGAGTTATCTTTAAACAAATATTGTATTGTATTTATCAAGATTACTCTCTCTCTATATATATATATATTCAAACCTCACTCAATACCAACCAAACGAAGAGCTCGAACTTTAGAGAAGCTTTATTACCATTCAATGAATAAAGAAGACATTTTTAAAACCTAATCATCTTTTGCAGAGTTTTATTACTAACGATAATATTTAAACTCAAAAACTTGAGAAGTACATTCTCAAAGGAGGATACTTGATGCTGAAAAGAAGATAATATCAAGTCCCACAATACTGGAATGTATTTCCAGCCCAACGGGTTGGTACGTGGCAGCACATGGGCTGTGCCAGTGGGAGTCAAAGGTGAAAACTTTTTGTGATCCAAAGTCAAAACAATTCTGGAACTGAATCTGATATGGCCTGCATCCTTGACTCACAATATTTGTTTCGAGAATAAATTATGGCATAATATAAAAAAAATATTATTCAATTAAATAGTCATTTTGATAATTTGTTAGCATATTTTAAGCACAACGTTTCATTTTTCAGACAAAAAAATATCTTTGTGAGTGGAAATTGTTAGTTAATAAACATTTAACGCTTTAAAATATGAGTCTTTTTTCTTTAAAATAAAAATGTTGAGTCAAAATGCTCTAAAAAAATAATAAGAGTCAAAATAACTATTCAATCAAATGTTAGAGGTGCTTTTACCCTAAAATACAATGTTATAAATTAAAATACTTAAAAAGAATATGGAATAAAATAACTATTTTAGTAAATATGGGCAATGAACTTTATGCATCCGGCCCTATTTATCAATAGTGCTCGGCTTGGGAGATATGGTTTTGTTGAGGTGATTATCTCCATGATTAAGGATCCTAAGCCCTTTCCCGTTTGTACTTGTTCTTTGCCCCATAAGTTGGGTCTTAAGCTTAAGGAAAAAAGTATGTTACGAGTTCATATTTATTCTATAAAACCACATACAAATATACATAATTTAATATTGGGATTACGAATGTCATACAAGTTATGGAACCGTATACTCGAAATGCAACTCTTAATTCCCACTGTATTCTCTAACAAAGCCTTTAATAAATTATGTACCTTAAATCTTGCAGTCCTAACATGTATAATAATAAAGCCTTGTACCTCAATTAAATGCCACCTTTTCGCTTATGAGAAATTTTCTTTCCAAGAAGATAAAGCCATGAAGGTTTTTACCATCGAAACACAATACCTTCTTATGCGTGCAGTTCAATAATGTTTACGTAAACAAACGTAACTTTTTGAAATATAAAAATATACCTTTTGGTGTTCTAGTCCATGGTATATGTATTTTCATTAAACCCTGAAACAATGTAGTCGGAAACAAAACGACACATAAAATGATAAAATACTCACCAAGCATCAGTTCATCACCAAACTTGAACATAAATCTTCTTTTTTTCTTTGCTTATCCCATAATGATTTTAGTGACTATAAGCTTTATTCTCAATGATCAAACTGATACTGGTATTAAATGTAAGTGATTAAACTTCTGCAAAACAAGAGAACTACATGGAGATTATATATATATAGTGTAAATAAAGATGATGTTATAGGGTTTATCTGATTTAACATGAGGATGTTTTCAGTCTGAACTCTGAAAAGAAGCTAAAAAGGTAGGAGAAAGCTCTCTAAAGCCCTAACCTATATGATCACCTCTTTTCGCTATTTACAATTGAAGAAGATGAAGAAAGAAAGCCTAATTAGTTCTAATTTTGCTGCAAATACTCGTTTAGTCATGCCAGCAAAGTAGCATGACAACGCGTCTTCTAATAATGTATAGCCTTTCTTTCTGTTCTTTGAGATACCCTCCAAGATTTCTGCATGAAACCTTCTTCTTGGACTCTCCCATGGCTGCTGCTGCTCTGCTACCAGTACCACTGCTTAAGCTTATCTTCATGTTGTTGATAGTTTCTCCTTTGTTGATCTTTTGGAAACCGAAATTGGCTGAAAATGTTGTTGTTGTTGTTGTAGAATTGTTGGAAATGAGAGCAAGCGTGTTAGGGTTTTATAGAAGAATGGTGTAGTCCAGATTCTTGCACCTCAGCTTCCCAAGAAAAACAAAAATATAAATAAAATGAAAAACAATCCATTTCTTTGTCTATCTATGAATATGACACGTTAACATATGTAAGAAAAAAAAAATACTTACATATTTAGTGTGGGAATTACTAACCGAGACAATTGGTCGGCCATTGATGAAAAAACTTAAAGTTTGAAGCATTGATTTATCATTTTTTTATCCATTTTACAACCCATATTAAAGTTGGGAACTGCAAAGGAATCTAAGTGACAAGTTCAATATATATATATATAATGTAAATAAGCTGAAAGCACAGCATGCTAATCCCACATGTTTTGTCTCGTGTTCCACACCCATTTTACCAAAGCTGCTTCAATGCTTTCGCTCATTCCATACAGAAGGGGATTAATCTATTATCCTTCGACGTTTTAGCTTTAACTCAGCTCTGAAAATGCTAAGATCAATTGACCAAACATATGCCTAAATTCCAGGAGCTCTTGGTCCCTTTGAAATGTTGCTTACAGCTAGTTTATCTATTTGTATATTCCCCTGCATTTCAATCTTACATTCATCAGCAATATAATTTGTTGGAATATTAATAAAAGATGTCGTTTTAATTTTGATTATTTTAAACTCATTTTAGCTGTGATTTTAGTAAATTTCTGAAACATGTGAAAATCCCGTGAGAGACATTGCCTTTGCCTTGTTTATCGAAGACAACCAAGATATTTTGTTGTTGTTATTATTGTTGTGGTTGTTTATTTGGATAACCTTCTTTGACTTCTTATGTTCCTTTGTTTACTGTAGTTTGATTAAGTTTTGGGTTAATCCATGTTTTTGTGCCCTAAGATCGGATTCTCGTATCTATGTCTTGGATTCTTCGAAGATTTAGTACTTCACCACTACAGTTGTTCGAACGTACTGTTCAATGTACTTAGTTGCAATTTTTCGGATTAAGAGATTCGTATATAGAATTAATCTTGGTTATTAGAAACATTTAATTTTTAAACAAGCGACCATCTTAGTATGTAAAAATTGATAATCTAAAATATAAAATAATTGATCAAATTATAACCCCTTTGACAAATAACTGCTTCAACTATTTTTTGAATAATATTGATGTCTAATGTTACAAACATTACCACTTTAGGTGTGCAGACCATTAACAATTCTTCTGTCAAGTGACGCATATCACAATCTATTAATTTTAAAAATTTTATTTTAAATTAAAAAATTAAAATTATATTTTAAAAAACACATAAAAGTTGAAAATAATCCAAAAACTTTAAAAATCTTCATTTAAACCCTAAACCCATACCGCTCGTCACCCTTTGCCATCGACGAAGCTTCACATGACCTCACCTCTACCCAATTACTAAAACCTCTATAAAATTATGATCGATCAACGATAAATTGATATTTTATATCCCGCAAACCCAAGGAGAAAAATCGCGATCCCACGTGATTTTATCGGCCAATCGACGACGTATGACTAGGAGGATGATAGGGAATATGACGGTGGTGGTGGTCATGACTGGAAAGGAAAGGAATTAGGGTTAGGATTTTAGGGATTTTGGGTTTTTTTTTTTTTGCAATTTAAGAGAAATTAATTTTTTTAATAAATATAATAATATTTTTAATTTTTTAAAAATAAATTTCAAAATTACAATATTATGACACATGTCACTTAACAGAGAAAATTAACGTCGTCAACGGTCCGAACACCTAAAGTGATAACATTTATAACGTTAGGTATCGAGATCATTCAAAAAATAGTTTAAGTGACTATTTGTGAAAAAGTGCTATAATTTAGATAATTATTTTATATTTAAACCAAATTGATATACTAAATATCTAAAATAAAAAAAATTGAGTTATTTTTCAATTTTCATACCGAATTTTGAGTCATAAGGGTTTGAATTCTGAAACTCGGTTGAGAATAGCTTCGAACGTGTTATAGTTTAAATGGAAAATGTTGATGTCCTCAAGTTCTTCTCATCACCTTATTTTGAGAGCTTTTATACTTTGTTGAGATTCATCGATCGCCAACTTTTATAGCTAGACTTCGCTTGTTGATTTACATTTGATCCGATTAGAAACTAATGAGACAACAAATTACATTGTCAAATTTGATTTTTTTTATTGAAACTTTTTATCCTAAACTCGAATTGAACCTGAAATTAAACCTGATTTTTTTTTTTAAAATTTAAATAAATCGAATTGAATCGAGTCGAAACCCATCAAATCCGTATCACGTGTCCCGCCCTACTTGTACCAACAATTGTTGGCAAAGACATTATATATTATGATATATACTATGTTTAATATATTTATCGTATACGGAAAGCAGCACATCGATTAGCATATAAATTATTGTATGTAAAGTCACGCCTCGCCCAATAAATTGATGGAAGAAGATTTTGTGGCAACATGCATGCAAGATATGTTACAAATTCTGGTGGCCAGAAGTAAAGTCTCCCACAAATTAGTTTTGACATATTGAGATTTTAATGGCTTACAGTGGGTCCAAAAGAACAGCAAAACATATCTAATAGATTTTATTTCATTCTTTTTCCACTTCCGTAAATATTCATTGAATACGAAATTTCCTTTTTAATTCTTGTTGAGTTAATCGATCGAAGGAATCGGCCAAGAGTGGGGTGAATTGACAATTAAAAATTTCGATGGAAGCTTTTGCAGAAAATTGAAAAGATTTGTACAGTGATTTAGAGTGGTTCGACTTTCTCAACCAAAGTCTACGTCCACTACCTTAGCTACCACACTAAGGATTTTCCACAAATTCACTAATTTGTCTTTCTTTTGTGGACAAAGAGTAACCTTACAAACCCTCAAGAATTATACCCCAAATTATTGAGAAAAACTCTCTCCCAAAGAGAACAATACAAATTTGTAAACTTACAAAGAAATCCTCACAAGGTAGATTGTTTGCACAATTCTAGAACAAAGAAAAGAACACTCAAGAATAAATACAATTGAGCACAAAAGTGTTCTTGATAGCAAAATGAATATTGAATGAAAAATAGGCTTGAAATGCTCAAACTTGAGATTTGATGCTTTCTCTTTGATTCTCTCTTGATTCTAGTTGCTTGATGTTTCTTGTTGTTGATCAATGGCTTCTAAGCTTGCTTAAATACTCCTTGAATCAATTCTGAACGTTGGTGATAATTAGTGGAGTCAATAGAGCTGTTATTGTGTGAAAACAATTAATTTTCTGGGTGGGAGCGTTTTATGCATCGATGCATGACCATTATGCATCGGTGCATCAATGTAAAATTTCAAATATTTTGACCGTTGGACTCCTAGTGCATCGGTGCACTAAGAGTGCATTGACGCATGAAGTGCATTCGATGTTTGAAAAATAGCCTGGTGCATCGATGCATGGATTGTGCATCGATGCATCAAATGCATTCGATGTTTTAATTAAATCAGAGTGCATCGATGCATGGAGAGTACATCGGTGCATGGAATGCATTCGATGTTTCAACTTATTCATTGATGCATCGATGCATGGTATTGATGCATCGATGCATGCCTTTGAAAAATTGATTTAAGGCTTGATTTTGGTTCAAAATACTTTGTGAAATTTTTTTCAAAAATAGTTTAAGTACAAATCACAATTTTACACATTTAGTAAGGATTAAAATTGATCTTCAAAGACTTGGAGTAATAATTTGATATTCGATAAATTGAATTGAATATAAATTGTAGAATCATTTGTAAAAATCTTAAAATTCATTTAAATTAATTTGTTATATCGAAATATCAAAAATGTTTTTTAACAATCTCCCCCTTTTTGATATAACAAAACACTTGGGAAATTTTAAGATTTAGAAAAATTATTTTTGAAATCAACTTTTGAAAAATTACTCCCCCTTACTATGACACACATCTTCTCCCCCTATCTGTTAAATCAAAAAGACTCTATAAAACGTTTTAAACAAGAATGTTTTGAAAAACTTAAGCCAATTGATTTATTAATTATAAGCTGCTAAGATCACAATCAAAAGAGAGGTTAGCCATTAGTTTCATAAATCAATATTCATATAACATGTAATGGATAATTGGTCATATATGTCTAATGATGCAAAGATAAGAAAATTTAACCAAACCAAATATATATATATATATTAAGTTCAAGCATTCATAAAATAAGTTCAAACATCCGTCAACCAACAAAGTTAAAGTATCCCAAAACAAACAAACCAGAAATATCAAAATCAATCCAAGTTTTAAAATCAAGAAAGCATGGCAAGAAAAACAAATCTACTCCATTGGAGGATCGGGAGGAGAAGGATAATGAGCTCGAACTTCAAGAGTCAGAGCATCCATACGATCACACATCTCCCTCTGAAACTCAGTAAACTGTGACTCCATGGAAAAAAATCGTAGATCAAACACCTCTAAAAAGGATCAGAAATAAGGTGGTGTTTGATCTTCTTGTCGAGCGGGTTTCGGTGCATTAGCTGGATCGTCAATATCTTGAAATATCCCTTGAAGCTCGGGATCGACATCCGCAGCCGGAGGAGGAGGAGGAGCACGAGAAGAACTAGCTCCCGGAGTTTGTTTATTTGGCCGGAAGACCCAAAAACCGGTGCGTTCATCTTGAACCCAATCCGCTTTCTTTAAAGAAGTGAGATTGATTTGATTTTGGAGAGGGATAGGAGTGTCAAGAGAAACTTCTAGACCAAATTTGATAAACATGTTACTAAGTAGACATCCGTAGGCTAATGTTTCAACATGTTTATAAGGGACAATGTTTACGATGTCTACTAGTTGACTAAAAATGACCTGTGGAAGATTTATTTTGA